GGACAAAAATTGTTTGACACTTCATGTTTGGACTTTGTGAGTCATGGGTTGTGTGTGGAAATGTTTGTAATTTATTTCCAGGGGTGTCTTCCTTGAAGATAGGCCACGTCAATGAACATGGTCAGCCCCCCCATACAGCGCTTTGGTACATAGCGAAGTGGGTCCTCCTTTGCTCAAAGTTATTTTGAAATAATGTTGTACAGGTGGGTGGTCATAGACTGGCATGTTTCTATTGTCTCATCTTCTATCATGTTTGGCGTAGTATGTGTCTTTTGCGATCTGTTTTCGAATGTTCTCAAACACTTTTCTTCCTGATCCCCCATCTGGCATCATCTGGCCATATCCTCTGGACACTTCAAAATTAAATCCTGTCCCCTGACCCCCCCCTCCTCCAAAACAACTTTTCTTCGACACAATTAAATGCTGTCCCCTGCCCCCCCCCCCCCCAACATAGAGATCATGTTTGAAATTATTTCCTGGGGTCTAACGTCTGATATAGTCTCAACACAACTATATTTTTTGTTTTCCCAATTTCAAAAAACGTAGTGGACCTACAGGATTTAATTTGGGGAGTACAAAGGAGGATCATGTATTTACATTGATGATGGAAGCACGAGGAATATGACTGCATCGTGCAATGGCACGGACCTGTGTTCCATTGAAATTCCTCTCGGACGTCCTGGTGTCCATCTGGCCCGATGCGGTTCCCATCCCTCCCGTCCCAACGGCCAAGTCTTCGGACCATCCCTCACCACTGCACGAAGCTCTGTGCCTCGCCGTCGAGAGGTCGGTTCCGCCGACGCCGGAGCGGAGAGGTCGGAGAGGTCGGAGAGGAGACGTTCCGCGGGGTGCCATGGGTGGATGGGCGAGCGGATGGAGATGCAATTCCATATACCCAAAACATGTAACAAACGGCTGGGGGTTCATAGACCTGACCAAAGGTTCTGAATTGGTCAGCGCTAGGCTACCACTTGGTATATGTCTCAGATGCTGGGGCGTGAGTTGCGTGAGTGCTCTGGATGTGAACAAACGTGCGACTCCTGAGATTGCTGTTTCATGTGAATTCATGGCATTTCCGCATCCCAGAAAATAGGTTCAGACCGCCTCCGATCCTGGTTGTGGACATCTCATCCACTGACCAATCCTCAAGACAAAAAACAAATGGATGTGAATTTTAATAGGAGTCCCCCTGGCCCAGGTCCGGGTTCCGGATGGAAAACGCGTCCATCCGCGGCCCGGAAAATCAGCAGCGTGAATTTCGCTGTCCATCCGCCTGCCGCGAAGATGACCTCCGCGTTCCGTCGCACGCCGTCGGGATCCTCGCACTGCCGGACCTCGCGTTCCGTCGCGGGTCGCGTTCCGGTCTGAAGCGAGGCTGAATGGGTCTAAACCGACGGACAATACACCATGAAATAGCTGTGGAGTGTTATATAATGGTAATCCACATACATCAGTTTACCCTGCCATATACTATGATCAACAGCAGTCATGGTAATGCATTTGATGATATGTTCCTTGCATGTTCAAGAACGTTTCATGTATTTTTCAGTCACTACTCCGTTGTAGCATGGTGCCCCGCTCTCCGAAGCCTCGCCGTAGGGTCCAAAGATGTGAAACAAGACGCTCTGAGTCGTCCGCCGTTCTTTTCCAAACAACACGTGGTTTGACCACGCGTTTTCCAACGCTGAAAGAGGGCATGGATTTCTTGGTTTGGTGGTAGGCCTTGTTTGTCATCATCCAGTCGAAACCTGGAAAAGGATTGAAGTTGCTTCGTGAACTACTCCAAATTCAGGAAGACGTGCATCTAAATGGGGTTATTCAAGGTGTTACTCATGATTCTTCCAGGAAGAATCTTCCTTTTTCCTTTCGCTTTTGCATGCCAGTGCCTTCCAAACTTTCATCAGAACCTCCCAACGCTCACGCTGTGTCCCCGCACCTGTCGCTTGAGAACCTGCACCGGGAAGCGTTCTCCCTCAATGGCATTCTCTCCTTGGCGCAACATCGCGCCGCCCCAAACACAACACAAAGGGCGGCGCATGGCTGCCATCTGGGATCTAAACGGTTTGCGGGCATGGTAATACAGATAATAACAAAAACGCGAGACCGAACGCCCAGGCGCCCTTTTTCCTCTCGCTTGAGCCAAAAGTCGAGTTGCAAGTCTGAACGATCCGAACCCTTAAGGTTTCTTGGATGATTCCCCTGCAATTGAGGGTTTCAGTCCTGCTTTGCATTAGTGATACTAGGCTTGCATTCTAGGGTTACCGAACGGTGGTATACTTCTTCTCCCCCTTCTTACGATGGCTGGCTTACGATGTGCGGAGCATGGTCGCTACTCACACGGCTTGGCATTGAAAGCTCTTAGAAGTTATACCTAACAATTCCAGTGCGTGGCTCCAACGACAAGGAGACAGGTTCTTTGTCAATGGGTCGGCTCTCTGCTTGTCTGTTGCGATATATCCTATCGAGGCATCAGGTGACTCGAAGACTTCATATAGCGAACCTAGGTCGAGACGATGTGTTTTCGAGACACGACGCAACTTGGGGCTATATCCAGCTTCTATTATCTGGAGTACGGCAGCGTTGTCTTGATGGCAGGCAAGCATGGTTGGTCTGCCAAACAGGATGTCACAAAGACTTTGTGCCGGCAAGCCCTCGCTGAAAACACCTGACGCGAGTGCGATGGTTTCAGCCTCCGTTGT